TTCTAAGTATTTTCAGAGTCACCACTTGACATTTGGTTTTGGTGTGTGATGTTTGGTGATAAATGATGAAAAGTTCATATTTTTTTAGTATATTTTCATATTAATTTTTGTGTGTGTCGCGGGAGATTACATGATTTTTGAAGTGAAATATACTCATTATGTGTTTCTTATGTGTAGGAACGAGTTTGGATGCTAAATGATCAAAAGATGACAATTCGACACAAAAAGAAGAAATTAAAGGAGTGGGAGCTCGTCTATTCTCGTGCGTGGCACGAAGTCGGACGCGAAAAAGGAGAAAAGTTAAGGCACAAAATAGCGAAGCGAAGCAAAAGCACGGAGCGCTTCGCGAAATGGAAGAATCTCAAAAGCTGGATCCGCGTCAAAGTCCGCGTCTAGACGCGAAGGCAGACGCGGATCCGCATCAAAGTCCGCGTCTAGACGCGAAGGCAGACGCGGATTCCAGGTCTCCCTTCCGAAGTTGGATTGAAGAATTCCGCCCCTCATCAACCCTAGGTCATATAAATACATCCTAAAACACCACTTTGAAGGAGGAGGACGTTTTTGAGAGGAAAACACAAGCACAGAGCCGCCGTGGAGGCCGGGTTTCATCTTTTCTTCCACCAACTTAGTCTTTTTATGTTTCTTTGTATGATTTGTTGTTTTGCTACCATGTCTATCCGGAGCTAAACTTCACGTTCTAGGGTTGTGGTTCTTTCATGACTATTGTTATTCGGATATTGATTTTGATTTCTTAGTTTATCATATTGGTTTATTTATTCAATCCTGCACTTAATTATTTGATTGCTTGATCACCAATTGAATACTATCTACGAATCTAGAGTTGAACTCGAAAGTGGGAATTCTAGATTTCATATAGGATTGAGTAAAGCAAGTTCTTGAACCTAGGTATCGGGGAACGGATTCGCGGTTAGGAGAGACATATACCTAATTGCCTTGCTTGGTTGATTTACAGGAATTATAAATGCGTACTTGTTGATTCTAACTCCATAGACATATAGGCGTTAGGTTAGCTTGAATAGGCGAGTAAGAACTCGACAGATTCTTATGAGCAATATTAACCCTGTCAACCAATAAACTAGATAAATTAGTTAGTCAATTCAATTGAAGAATACAATAGGAATGTTAGATAGTCCATAATCCTAGATCGTTTTCATTACATTGATAACATAAAGATCTGCTATATTCAAAGTTCATTATTTGTTTTATTTATTTTAATTAGTTTAGAATCAAATACTTCTAGGTTTAATTCTTGTTTAGATAATTAGGATAGTCTAATTTAGTTTATAGTTAATCACAAGTCCTCGTGGGATCGACATTCGACTTTTAGTCACTTTATTACTTGACGACCGCGTATACTTGCGTGTGCGTTTGGTCGCAACAGTGTGCGAAGTCATCGTTTTTAAAAAAATAATTTTTCCTTTTAAAACATATTTAGACTCCAAAACTAGTTTGCACCAGAGATTCTTAGTAAGGAAGTTCATTTGACTTGGGAAGAAGGTGTTAGACATTCCTAAGTCCCGTAACTAGTACGGTTGCGTACATGATCAAGTTGGCTTTAAAAGATATTCGAGTTGAAGTTAAAACACACAAAAGAAAAATAAACACAGGAGAGGTCCGAGGTTATCCCCTACCTAAATAAAACAAAATAAAATAAAAATTAAAACAAAAGATTAAAATTCTATTCTATGCATCCTCCCATTGTCCCATCTTTGTTCATTTACATGTACTTCTGGGCATTCCTCGGATAAAACAATAAACTAAGGGACAACCTCTAGTCTCGAAAACTAAAACATAAACGTCCTAAAAATTACCTACCCAAGTGTGGTCAGCCTAAACATGCTACTTGCGAACAATGTAGTAAAATAAAATAAGTAAAAGAGAACTAAATAAAAAAGAAAGTTCGATTCATGGCCATGTTCTTTTAACTTTTCGTTTCATGCATTTGACCAGGTCCAATTCCTAAGGCATGTAAACAATTTAATCACTAATGAGCTCGGTCTTTTCCCCACTCCCTACGGCCCAGCAGTCATTCAGGAAAATGCTAACCAAATAGAATCGAGCAATCATCCACGCAAACACGTAAAATAGATGTCCAAAACATGAGATAGAAGAAGGAAGCAGGTAACAGTGAAAGAACTCAGTGTTTGAATCCATATATGATAAGAGCCTTTTAAAATCCAATAAAATTATCTAATCTTTATCACATCCTACAACCATTTTTTTGCACATCAGCATGCAGACGTGGAGCAAACAGAACAACGAAAGCATATGATATACCAAGTTGTTTCTATTCTAGAAAGCTTGAAACATGAATTATCACAGCTTTACATTAAGTGATCAATTTGAGCAGCCTAGAAGTGGAACATTCAAAGATATTCAACTTGCAACAATTATTAATGTCTAGGAATGAATAGCAACGAGCAAAAGAAGCAGGGAGGCAAGGAGCATCGAACTACACAAACTAGACACTAAACATGCCATCCCAAAATTATTGAACCATGGGAATGAATTGAAATGCCACAAAAATGAGATCGACTATGCACTAATCACATGGTTTCAACAAGTTCACAGAAATTAAAGTACTACATACATGTTCGAATCCAAACGAAAATTGGCAGAAGCTTTCAAACGATTCTTAAAAACGAATGCCTTATATGCTTATACTTAAACTCGACAAAATATTTAAAACCAGTTCATGGAAGACACCCAAAAGAATCAGTATCTTAACTCCTATGGCACGAGACAGATTTTCGAACAAGAGAAGGAAAATTGAACAAATCTGAACATATACACTCAGCAAAACGATTCAACTCCAACACCACTTTAGACCAAGATCCAATAAGAAGAAATCATTGAGCGACACACCAAATTCACAAATTAACTGCTTACGCCCAGATTCTAACATGAGGAATTAGCCAAATATAAAGACGAGGTAAACAGTCCGCTAAGCTCGCACTAAAGAGAGTGTGACAAATTGACCTATGGCAAGAACGGGTAGCAATTCAAAACTTTCAAGTAACTGAACTAAACGACAGTAAACAAGAGACATTAAAGGAGATTTCCATGATATATTTCATGTCGAGTCTCATCTAACGAAACAGGAGCATTCACGAAAATAACAAACAAATACATGATAGGTTCGCACTCACGCTAGCAGTCGCATAATCCATTCGAGCTTCAGTTAAATATGTCAATTACCAATTTGATTAGACCATTTCAGAAAGAAACAAACCAAACTTCATTCATGCACAATAATACTCCAACAAACTAGGCACTAGAAAAACTCAAAAATACTTAAAAGATCCACATGTATTTAGGTGTAAAAGAATAATTCCTACAAATCAGTTTCACAAATCTTGGTCAAACTACTTTCTTCTTAATACTCAGTTAGGAACTAAATAAGTTATGTATTCCTGTATCCCTTCTAGTTAAGGCTCAAATCATATTTAGATCCAAAATAAAATAAAAGAGATTAGAAGTACCTGAAATTAGCTTTCCAATTAATAAAGTTTTGGCAACTACAGCAAGTGAATCGAGCCAAATTGAAAGAATCTGCAACAAAGGATTTCAACCTGAATCTCCAAACAGAAACAGGAAACCTCGACCGGAACCTACGGCGATCAACAACGGCGACGAACTCGAACCAAATCTCAGTACTCAAGCGAAATCCATTTTTGAAACCAAAAATCAAAGAGAAGAGAAACTGAAAGCTCTTTTTGTTTTCTGATTTTTTAAGTAAAAAGAAAAAGACACTGAAGAAGCGTGCAATTTTTATATATGAAATAACTAGGAAAATCAGAAGAAGAAGAATATCGAAAATCAAAAGCAAAAATCCTAGAACCTTTCGTTGCCCCCTTTCTTTCCGAATATCCCCTATATGTGAACATCCCCTTGTGTCAGGCAAACACCTGATGAATGAAGGGATGTGATCAATTAAAATTGATCCCACGCTCTTCGTTCATCCAAAACATGCCTTCTAGAGGCTTCAATCACATGAGAGACGGGGATGAAAGAATGGGGAATATTCAGGTCGTTATGTGTTAGGCCATGTGGCAAAGAGAGAAGGAGATTACGTGCTTATATTTTTTCATTTCCATCTTAAATTCTTTGAATTTCTCAAAGCATTCAAACTTACGGTGCAAAAGATAAATGTATCCATATTTTGAGTAATCATATATGAAAGTCACAAAGTACTCAAAATCATTTCTTGGTTGTATATTCATAGGACCACACAAATCAGAATGAATTAATTCTAACTTATCACTGGCTCTATTTCCTTTGAGGGGAAATGTCCCTTGGTCATTTTTCCTTCTAAACAGGATTCGCATGTTGGTAGTGCCACCACTTTCAATAAACTCAAAGGTCCATCTGAAACAATCTCGAAATCCTATTGATTTATATGACCTAGACGTAAGTGCCACAATTAAGTTTGGCTCAATTCAGAAATACAGTTTCTTTTATGTGACAAATTAATGTTATTTAATTCTTTTGGTTGTAGCACACGAAGAGATATATCACGAATAAAAAGGCCATGCACTCTAGCAGCAGTGTAGATAAAACGTTTATTAAACTTAATAACATTAGAGTTATTAGCAAAATAAATTTTATAACCAGCATTCATTATTTTTGAAACCGAAATCAATTCCTTCTAATAGAAGGTACATAGAGAACATCCTTTAAAACTAAAACTCTATCAGTACTAAAATGAAACTCTAATATCTCCTAATACTAAAGCTGGTGTTGGCTTGCAATTGGCTTGAAAAACGCAAACTTCATTCTCACTTAGCCGCAACATTTCCTAAAACCCCTGCAAAGTAGTGCAAATATGATTAGTGGTTCCTGAATCTACACCAAAACATGACAGAGACAGCCGCTAAACAAGTTTCAACGATATTTAAATTTGAATTACCTTGCTTATTCAACTTTGCCAGATAGGCAGGGCATTATTTTTTGTGATGCCCAGGTTGCTTGCAGTGATATCACTTTCCTTTTGGCTTTTTCACACCAACAGCTGCACCTCCAGGTGCCAAAACCTTGTGAGCCTTCTTCTTTTTCTTATCGCCTCTCAGCTTAGAAACCGAAGCTTTCTCAACTTTCATTTCCACAATCGGAGCTTGTTGTTTGATAATGAATTATGCCGCTTGCAGCTCATTCAATAATTTTGCTAGTGACAAATTCATTTTATTCATATTATGGTTCAATCAAATATGTTGAAAACTGTCAGGAAGAGTCTGCACGACCATCTCAACTTGAGATTCCTTATCAGTCAGTGCTTCAAGGACCTCCAGTTCATTCAGTAGACCCATCATCTTCAGAACACGGTCCCTAATTGATGATCCTTCAGCCATCTTGGTATTCAAAAGGGCTTTCATGGCTGTCTTCTTAGCTGCACAATTTTGCTCACCAAACATCTCTTTGTCTTTCGATAGACTGATTGATGTTGCAAAACATTTGCTATAGAGGCAAGAAAGTAACATCGTGTCATCTCATCAGCCTTAACCCATTTGTCATAGGCCTTAACTTGATCATCAGTAGCATCTTCATCACGTTTTTCTGGGCACTCCTCAGTTATTACAAATTTGTAACCTTCAGCAATTAGGACCATATCAAGGTTCCTTTTCCAGTCAACATAATTTGGTGGATATGGTTCCTTTTCCAGTCAACATAATTCGACCCTTCTAACTTGTTTTGGTTCAAAATTAAAGTAAGTGGGTTGAATGAAGACATGGTTAATCTGAGAGATATTCATATTAAATAGATCATTAGTTATTAAATAAGAAAAATAAATTCAAAATAACATATTACACATATAACCACGCTCATTGAATTAGATTCGATAGGGAAACTTAACTATTCATGCGAAATATGTGAGTTATGTCAGATATTCATCCCATAAATTAAAATATGACCAACTCAGATGGAGAGTAAACTGTCAATTTAAGATAGGTAAATATCATTTTTATAAACCCTAGTTTTATTGAATCAACATGTAACTTAGTTGGAAAGTTAATACAAGTTACCAAACAGCTAGAGACTAAACCACAATAATTATCTATAATGAATCTATCCGCTTGTGAAAGAAAACCTATGTCAACATATAAATTCATTATATTACTGTAAAACATGAATGAAAACCATATAGATTGAACCTACCACCATTGTTTTCGTAAAAAAATTCTTTTATTAAAAAAAATTCCAGAAAATAGAAAAATGGCCAAAACCCATCTAAATGACCCCGAATGCCCGAAAAAATTGAGGTTAATCGGAGTTCGACAGAATTTGAGAACTCCAAAATCATGACCAATTTGTGAAAACCAAGTTTTAGCGTTTTTAGGGTTCTAAATATTTTGACTCATTCATATCACATATAAGTATGTTAATCCATGATTTCAAAACTCAAATAGTATTTAAAACAGTCAGAGCTTTGAGAAAGCAACATTGTTTTCATAGAATAAACACAACAAACATGTATAATTAAACACTATGTTTTAATGTTACTCTATTCATGATGTATTACATTATCTAGTTAGGTGTAAGACTGCGTCTAATACCAATTATTAGAACATGCGGAGCAGACGCAAGCATAAAATACAGGTATCACAAACATGTAACCTAGACAACGATTGAATTAGGGAGATTAGAATTACTAACCTCTCGAAACTGCTGTACAAGTCCTTCACAGAGCAAGGATCCAGGGCTGCAGTCTTCTGCTATGCTCCAAGTAAAGCCTTGGACAAAAATATCTGTGTGAGCAAATATTACTACTCTGAAGAGTGAGTTATTAGGTGAAACTAGTCTTTTATTTGTAGTGGCCGAAATTGAGCAAACAACCAGCCCAAAATCGTGTAAGATTTTACTAGGGTAGTAGAATCCTACTCCCAAATAGAGAACTTTTTTCCCAAGTAACTTTCTACCCAAGTCTGTCAAGGTTTTACTTGGTATAGCAGGGACCACAGAAATAATAAGAGGCTACCAATTATAGTATTATTAATTCGAAATTCAGATGAATTAAATCTTACTATAATTAATCACAATTTACTCCACTAAAAAACTACAATTGAACTCCTCAATATGAATTTCGAAATTCACCAACACTTATTTTAACTCCCCATGTTAAAATTAAAAATACCGGTTCATTACATTAAATTACTTCAATTTAATCAACTTAAGCTATTTTATGTGACAGATACAAAATCCACCGGCCGGGTTTTCACATGAAAACTTATAAGCTTACATAAAGGGGTATTATCAAACTCAAGGTCGAGTTATGGATTCTGTCAACTAATTATTATTTCACAAATGCTATTTGTTATTGTCCAATCTATTAGGCATACACTAACTCTGAATAGAGTTGTACCTTTTGATAAATCGAAACAATAAACAAATCACATTGATCATAATAACTATATCAAGATTAGGTATGTGAGCTTATTTAATGAATCAGAGAAAATATTTTATATATTCAGTACAAAAATATCTTTTCTCTACTTGGTCCGTTCAATATACACTAAGTATACTAGCACAATAAGTTGGAGTAAAACCACTCCCATAATCAAGATAAATTATACTTTAATCTTGTGCTACAGTCATCAAGACATTTTCTCCAACAATATCTTCAATTGTACATAATTTATTAATTATGAGAACCGACAATTTAATCTTTTGTGCATGTGCTAAGACTTCATACACTAAATCGTCTATTAAGGACACACATGAAACAAATAATCTATTTAAAGTATTACTTTATTGAATTGAATAAATCAAATAAACAATTATTCCATAAAGAATAAAACATAATACTATAGCTAAATCGCATGGTTAATAGTATATCCCAACACAAGACGCGAATCTAACCATAACATTATTGATCATTACCAACTGATAATATATAACTATGTCGTACATGTAATGTAAGTGTTCGCATTGCTCCATGTTATCTGAGTTGTATGTTACCTGGATGACATGCAGTTTATTATTCTCCTCTCCGAGTGGATGTGCTAGGCGCGGGTGGATTTCAAGTGACCATGCTACGCGTAAGTAGGTTCCAAGTGCCCGTACTAAGCGCGAGTAGGTTCCAAGTTGTCGTGCTAGACGTGGGTAGGCTCCAAGTGGCCGTGTTGAGCGGGGGTATGTTCTAAGTGGTCCTTCTAGGCGCGGATAGGTTTCAAGTTATCGTGCTAGGTTTAGTAGGTTCCAAGTAGCTATGCTAAGCGAGGGTAGGTTCCAGGTGGCGTGCTAGGCGTCGATAGGTTTCAAGTGATCGTGCCAGGTGAGGGTGGTTTCCAAATGTCGTGCTAGGCGCGAGTAGGCTTGTCGTTGTGCTAGGCACGGGTAGTTTCCAAGTATAGCGCTAGGCATCGGGAGGTTCCAAGTTCATGTGCTACGCGCGGGGTAGGCTCTAAGTGGTCGTGCTTAGCGCGGGTAGGTTCCAAGTGGTCGTGCTAGGTGCGGGTAGGCTCCAACTGCTCGTGCTAGGCGCGGGTAGTTTTCAATTGGTCGTTCTATGCACGGGAATGTTCCAAGTTGTCATGCTAGGCGCGGATAATTTCCAAGTGACCGTGCTAGGTGCGGGTAGGTTTCAAGTGGATGTGCTAGGCGCGAGTAAGATCCAAGTGCTCGTGCTAGGCACGAGTAGTTTTTCAAATGGTCGTTCTAGGCGCGGGCAGGTTCCAAGTGGTCATGCTAGATGCGGGTAGGTTCCACATGGTCGTGCTAGGCGGGTAAGTTCCAAGTGGTCGTGTTAGGTGCAGGTAGGTTCGAAGTGCCATGCTAGGTGCGAATAGGTTCCAAGTATCGTGCTAGGCGGGGGTTGGTTCCAAGTGGTCGTGCTAGGCGTGGGTAGGTTCTAAGTGCCGGTGCTAGGCGCGGGTAGGCTTCAAGTGGCTGTGCTGAGCGCGGGTAGGTTCCAAGTGAGCGTGCTGGGCGTGGGTAGGTTCGAATTGACCGTGCTAGGCGTAGCTATTTTCTAAGTGGTCGTGCTAGGTGCAGGTAGATTCCAAGTGGTTGTGCTAGGCGCGCGGGTAGATTCCAAGTGTCGTGCTAAGTACGGATAAGCTTCAAGTGGCCGTGCTAGATGTGGGTAGGTTCCAAGTGGTCGTGCTACATGCGAGTATGCTCCAAGTTGTCATGCTGAGCGCTGGTAAGTTTCAAGTGTCAGTACTAGGCGCAAGTAGGCTTCAAGTTGCCGTGCCGAGCGCATATAGGTTCTAGATGGTCGTGTTGGGTGTGGGGTAGGTTCGAATTGGTCGTGCTAGGCGCAAGTAGTTTCCAAGTGGTCGTGCTAGGTGCGAGCTGGTTTCAAGTGGTCGTACTAGGCGCAAGTAGGTTCCAAGTATCGTGCTAGGCGTAGGTAGGTTCCAAGTGGCCGTGCTAGGGTTTGGTAGATTCCAAGTAGGCCTAATAATCCCCACAAGAGACGGTTGACCGAAAGATGCGAACCCAGCCATAACGTTATTGATCATTACCAACTAATATATATACTAAGTCGTACATATACGTCCACATTGCTTCATCTTGTATTGTCTAAGCTATATTTTACCAGTATGACGTGCAATTTATTATTCTCCTCAAAAAGTTCTGAGCATTTTTTTGCCACTGACTAATGATCAATTACACAACTGAACAAATATTCGACAACAGAGTGAACATACAAAGTCAAATTTAATTTCTCAATGCATTTTTAAACTACCATGATAATGGTGTTTCAAGGCAAATTTGGTTATCAATTTAGTTTGTGTGTGTAAGAGAGAGAGAGAGGGAGGGCCCTCGGGCCATCGACATCACACGCTCTACTAAAATAGATTTCGCGAAAAATCAGGTATATCCAATCTTGGTTGGCCTTTCACCCCCTAGCCACAAGTCATCCCCATATTTTGCCACATATGTTGGTTCGGTCCTCCATTTAGAGCTCTCTCCAACCTGCTCCTGGCTAGGTCGATCGGTTTCGGGTCAAAGGGAGCGAGCTCTTGTATGCGACATGTGAAGACAACATAGTTCACTTCGATGAATATTTAGTTTTTGTCTGTAAGGCACTGTTAATGGCGAGACAAAGTTTCAGCATGTGACGAGGTGGTTATGATAACCATAACTATTACTGAGATCACAGCTTTTGGACTTCCCAACTAGTGAATAGCACAAGATTATCAATATTGAGCAAACAAGAGGCTCAGAGTTCTTGACTGAAAAACTATGTTCTTAATAAGCCAGACTCTCCTGACTGTAACAGTTGAGCAAGTACGTCGTATCCTCAAAATTAACCAGCTCAAAAATGACTCATCTCTGTGGCCGGAGCTAAACAGCCAGAATAAAACTCCAGTATGAAAGCAAAAAGATGTTTAAGCTACCAGTATGAATGCTATTCTATTAACAATACATGGCTACTGTGATTTCAAAAGAAAGGCAAGATGGAAGCGCAAACTGTAGTACAGAAGCTTTAATAATAGCTTAAGTTCTGCTGGCAAAGGCAACAGCTTCTTCATGTGAAGAGCTGTAAAATGAGCTCAATTTAGTTGTAGCAAGTGCTTCTCCAAACAGTGATGCCCTAGTAGATTTTGTTATGTGCACTTCAACATAATCACCAATCTTTGGGTTTCGCTTCCCATTATT